AGACGAAAGGTCGTCCCACCTCTGGCACATTCTCATCCCTATTGTTACGAAACCTGTGTGTGTGTGTGTGTGTGTGTGTGTGTGTGTGTGTGTGTATACTCGCCTCACAGCTCCAATGTTGCCGGCATTTGTTTCACACCTAAAACTAATGATGATGATTATCTGCAGCCACACGGTTCCTGCTGAGGACGCCGTGATGCAATCAGGCGGGGGCAGGGAAGGGGGGTGGATGGAGAAAACCAGAAAAACAAGCGTGGAGTTTAAGCTCATTGATGGAGGCTTGAATTGGAGGGAATATTGTGGAAGATTATTTTTAAGCTGCTGCAGACGGTTGGGGGGCGGATCCTCGGGTGGTTCGAGGACACGTTTAAAAATCGATCACTGATCTGATGAGTTTTTCTCTTTCTTTCATGTTTTGAGTGAGTGGTGAATGGACTGATTCTTATATAGTGCTTTTCTACTTTCCCAGAGTACTCAAAGTGCTCTAAACCACATGCCACATTCACCCAATCACAGCCATTCTCACAAGCACTTTCTGTGCACTTATTGCTTTCTAACTACATTCACACTCTGATGGATGCATCGAAGAGCATCTTGGGGTCAGTATCTTGCCCAAGGATACTTGGCATTCAGACTGGAGGAGCCTGGGATCGAACCACCGACCTTCCAATCAGTATGTGACCTGCTCTACCTCCTGAGCTACAGCCATTTAGGTCTCTGTTTTTGCAGTCCATGCCCACCCCATCGTCCAACCCCCCCACCCCCACAGAAGAATCTAAACGTTAGCTCAGAGTCGTTCACTTCACTTCCTGGTCGAAGTCTTTAAGCTGTCCCACTGCAGGCTGGCTGTTCACGAGCTGGTCCTGGAGCTGGTTCCAATCCTGATGGGAACTTGCGGCTTCTGGGTTTCACGTTTCCGTTGTTCCTCGACCTCCTCATTTTCTTAGTTTTCCTCCACACACACGTGACTATTTCATGTCACTGTTTCTTCTCATGTTTCATTCCAGCGTCGGTATTTCTGCTTCGTCTCCGCCTTTACACTCAAAATAAAACTGCCCAAAAACGCAGACTTTGACTACCTTACAATTATATTTTCCATATTATAATAATTACACAGTAAACTGTTACATTTAATGGAGTCTGCTCAAATGAAATTTGATTTGCATACATTTAGTTTATTCCGAGCACATTTTTCTTATTTTAATGAATAAATGTCTTTCCTACATTTCAGTTGATTTTCACTCTGAATCATTGATTTGTGTTTATTGAGGGTGAGGAAGCGTTTTTATGATCTTCAGGTCTTCACGACAGCGTCCTGGTCTCTGACCTTTACGTGATACTTCCTGGTTGCTTTGCCTGACGCTCTATGTTTGACCTCATCCTTCAAATACATTTAATTTAGAGCTTGATCCTGGTCTCCAATGAAGCTCTCACAGATACAAACGCTGTTCTGTGCTCCGTCGTCACGTCAGGGTGAAGCGTCGACCTGCTGATTCATGAAATGCTTTCTGTCTTTTGATTCCAGGTTTGCCTCCAGGTGATCTCTGATGTGATTGATTAGTGGTGTAAAAGGAAACGGTGGACGGCTGCAGTTTAGACTTCTGGCTTTACGTTTTCTGTTGGGGGGGGGGGGGGGGGGGGGGGGGGGTTAAGATAATTCAAGAATTCCAGTTTTTCCAGCAGCTGTTTGAATGAAAGCTGAGGGTGGATGGAACCACAGACATCTGATCTCTGAATGGTTTTTCTCAATGATTGTGCAGATCCCATTTAAAAGGCATTAACAGCTGATCGGATCAGACCGTGATGGCTGATGGTTTGAGTGAGACTGACGTCCGGTTTCCTCGGTGTCCATGTGAGGGAGACAAACTCTCACAGATCTCACAGCTCGCTCTCCTCAAACGCCTCAGTGCTGAGCGCCGTCCAGCGCAGGCCGCCATGTTTCCAAAGTGCTTTCCTTTGGAAACGATGTCTTTGAACTGCAGCTCATTGAGCACGCAGCAGGAACATCATTTAAATGAAGCACATCTTTAATGTATGTCGGCTCACAGCCTCCAACAATCATCATTGAGTGCTTTTCTTCAGATTTCCAGGAAAGTCCGACGCTGTCTGAGTTCTCGCTTATCGTCCAATCAAGACATTCATTTTTCTTCCTGGAATCTGCAGCTTAAGAAAAACTCGTGTTCATGAACTAATGACAGACGGATATTTTAAATCCAGGCCTGTGAAATAAACTGCATAGACATCCATACTGGTTTAGCAGTTATTAGCAGTTCTTTTATGTTTTTTACATGTGAATTAAAGTCTTGGACAGAAATGTCCTTAATTCCTTCAGTTTCACCACAAGGACTGGGTTTGAGGTTATGACGAGGGTCTTTGAGAAGTGAATCTGAAACAGGGCGCTGTGATGTGTTCATGTGTCCTTCAGGAGGGAGTTCGCTGAGCTGATGGAGAAGTACAGCTCCAACCACATCACGGCTTCAGGACGAATCTCTCCCACGCAGCTGTCCACAGGTAAAACCCACCATCACGTTCGACATGAACATTCGATCCAGGACAAACCGAACCCTCAGACAGCCCTCTGAAGACGTGACAACGATAGACACGACGGTACTCCAACAGCTCAAATGCCTGGAAATTCACAGCATGTTACAAAATCGCTTTGTGGTCACTTTCCAAAACTAACAGTCCTTTTAAAAGAGTCCATTACAAGTTTAATTTTTCATTTCCATGTCTGCGTGTCGCAGAACTGCGGACAAAACATCCTCACTAAATATGTTCTGACCCAAAAATGTCCCCAAGTTCTCGAAAAAGTAAAAATAATAGTTTTACAAAGGTGTTGCGACTTTCCAAAAACATCACCACTTCTCAAAAATGTCCACATTTTCCAAAAATATCTTCACACTCTAAAAATCCTGTTACTTTCTAAAATAAAGTCCTCTCATGTTAGTCTGGTCCTCACAAAGTACAAAGTTTCAGTCCTGAGTCACTAAATTGATCCTGTGTTCCAGTTTTTCTCCATCCCGCTGCGTCCCATCGTCCTCCGCCTCCCTCCGCCATTACATTTCTTCTCTCTCTCCCACGTCTTCCTGCTCACCTCTCTTCATTCTTCTTCTCGTTTCTTTAAAGGGAAGCTGACGGACACGGCCTCCTCCTCCTCCTCCTCCCGGTCAGAGAGCCCCCAGCTCCTCAGTCCTAAAGAGGGGGTCACGGCCTACACCCACACCGCCCCTTACCCTGCTAACCCTGCCTACGCCATGCACACACCTGTGCACGCCTTCAGGTAGGATCTAAAGAACAGAAATAACTCCCTCTCACAGTGATGCCTTCACTTCCCTGTAAACCAGAAAACATTTGACACAGATTCTGATGGGCTGTTTTATATTTATTATTAAAATACAAATAGTCTCAGAGATATAAAAACGCATAGAGAACTAAACCCGTCCTGCAGTGAGTCTTCATGAGTAATTTCAACTTTCCAGCTGATTTATTCAGAGTTTTTAATGAAACCAACACAGCTGTTAAGCTGTGAAGTCCTTCTTTGCCACTTTACACGCCACCTTCTTTACACGCTGCCCCTGTGTCACATCTGTCATGTAGCGATGCGTGGCAGCAGGACGAGGACTCGGGCGAAAGCTAAACTGATAGCGGAGCTTTAATCACTGGAGAAAAAGGTTGAATACAAAAACAAAACTAGAAAAACGCTAAGAAACTAGGAACAAGAAAACCTGGAACCACGAGGAGACATGCACAGCACACAGAGAGGAAACATGAGGGTTAACGAGGAAACACAAGCAGGACAACGAGAGGACATGAACAGGTGGGACAAATGAGACCTAACGACACAGGGGGAAGCAAAACTAGATACACTGCACACAGGAAAGGGACTATCAAAATAAAACAGGAAGCACGACACTCATAAAGACAGAAATAAAAAAGTGTTAAAGTAGAAACAGCGACGTGCTGTCAGACCAGAGCAAGACTCATCCAAACTAAGTAACAGGACAGCAGAGTCAGCATCCAGATCTATTCAAGTACTCGTGATGATGGAGCCTGGATCATATTATGGACTCATGATGGTATATGTCAGTTTAATGTTCCAGCCTGAGCATTACAGGCTGGTTAGCTGTAGTTATAACATGCAGTGTTGGGAAGGTTACTTTTAAAATGTATTCATTTACAGAATACATGCCCCAAAATGTATTCTGTAACGTATTCCGTTACGTTACTCAATCAGAGTAACGTATTCTGAATACTTTACTTAATATATTATCATGCTTTTTACAACAACATGAATGTACTATTGCTGTGTGATTTATTACTGTTACTGAAGGTCCGCGACTCCGAACTGTAGTAAAGGGACCTCTGACTAATACGGCGGGGTCCCTGTCGGCTCGTAGCCGAAAAATAGCTTTACTTTGTTGTGACTTTGTTGTGTGGGTCAACTTTTCTTGCGAGAGACAGAGAGAGGTGTTGAAAGGCTGCTCCAACGGAGCTTATTGTTTTCGGAGGAAAACAGGAACACGGTGTACAGTCGAGTCCTAATAGCTTACTTACAACTGGGCTCGTCAGGCTCTCTTCTTGGCTGCTGTGGTTATTATTATATTTACATGCTTCCAGCTCCCGTTTCTGCTCGATGACAACTCGTACCTTTCCACTCCCCTTTTTCTCCCTCCTCGCGCTCACAGACCCATAACGGGTATGGCAGTCCATTCTCCCTGCAGCACGGACTACACTGCCCATGATGCTACATTCTTTAGAGCTATGCTTGTAGCATTCTGCCTGTTAGCTTAGCACAACAACAACAACGAAAAGGCGCTCTCTCACCCAGGAAACACAGTCGCAGAGAGAGGGAGAGAGCGTCGCCCTGTAACCATGGCAACCGTAACGCTGCCGCCTGGAACTACAGAACGTAGCTGTCAAACAAAACCCAAACAGTCCTGACCCGCGACAACATGAAACAGGAAAGTACCGCAGTGTAATCCATTTATTTCAACAAAGTAACTGTATTCTGAATACCACCTTTTTAAACGGTAACTGTAACGGAATACAGTTACTCATATTTTGTATTTTAAATACGTAACGGCGGTACATGTATTCCGTTACTCCCCAACACTGTTAACATGTTAGTAGAGCGCAGTACTGACATCCATAATCAATCTGCAGTACTGCAGTACTTTAACTACGAGTACATTGAGTGGAGTCCAGGCAGTTTGTTATTGGACGGTGGTTACATAACAAACTATGATTCAGCTGCATGGAAACACCAGCAGCCACTAAAAATAGTGAAAAGCCTCTTCAGCAGTTTGAAGCTGGAGGAGGGTTAGAGATTATGACAGCGTGCTTTTTAATCTCTCTGTCATGCCGCCTCTCTCTCTGTGTCCTCAGTGACAGTGTCATTCAGTTGATATGTGTCGCCAAGGGAACAGGCCTGGGGCTCATCATCAAGGGCGGAGCCAACCGCCCCGAAGGACCAATGGTGTTCATTCAGGAAATCGCGCCTGGAGGAGACTGCCAGAAGGTCAGCATCTTTGTGGTCCGGTGGTTTGATTCCGATCATTCTGGATTCAGTGAGAACCCCACTGGGCAGCCCGCTGTGTCTACAGCGGACACTAAAAATGCATCTGATATGATCCACTGGAGATTCACTGGGTTGATAACAGATAAGCTGACATGTCAGTCCTCAGCAGACTCAACTTCATGCCAGCAAAAGGCCAGACTACAGCACTCGCGTTATGCTCATCTATAATAATCATACCAACTTATGCTGATAGTGTTTATGTGAGCATGCTGCTGAACACGCAGTCTCACTGCTCCTGTCTGACTGTGCTGCTTCAGGACGGCAGGCTGCAGGTTGGGGACCAGCTGGTGTCCATTAACAAAGAGTCGCTGATCGGGGTGACATACGAGGAGGCCAGGGGCATCCTGACACGCACCAAACTCAGGTACGGCACACCTGATACCGAACAGACATTGTGCAAATGACAGGATAGCACACAGCAAGGACATAAAGACACAGCTGTTCGTGTGCTGCTGTTGTTTCAGGTGCTTTTCAAAGATACAGCATCGTTTAGTATTCAGAAACCATAAGATAGAAAATATTAGTAAATAATAAAAACTGAATAGAAACATAAACTGAAGGTCGTCTCTGATCACTTAACACTTAGAGTCCCCCGAGAGCAGCCATTTGGCTTTTCTACCTTTAAAACCCGCCTTGGCTGGAAGGCGGGTTTTAAAGGTAGAAAGGTAGAAGGCTGGGCACTGCTGCTCTCGGGGGACTCTAAGTGTTAAATCCAGATGTTTAACTCAGACTCATCTTGTGTTCTAGACCTGACCCGACCGTGGAGATTGCCTTCATCAGGCGGAGGTCGTCCTCCAGCTCCAGCAGCGGGCCCCACAGCCCCATCTCCCTGCAGGGGTCTGGTGGTGGGGGTGGACCCCAGATAAGGGGCCCGGTCCTGGGCACCGTGCCTCAGCAGCCGGCCGTGGTTACCAAGATCACCTCCAGCCGAAACCCCGCCAGCGAGACTCTGCCATCAGTCAACGTCACCCAGGTCAGGGCGTTGACTCTGAGAGCCTCATAAAAGTTTGTACAAACACAGGACACAGATTTGAGCTCTCCGTCTTTAAAGTTAGATTAGAGAGGAAGCAGGACGTCTCAGCACCGCTTTAACAAAAGAACCGCCTGGTGGTGGCGCTGAGTGTAAAGTCAGCACTAACAAGAGTCTGTTAGACAGTTTTTGATAGCCTATCTGTGCAGGTACTTCAGCGCGGCCTGGAGAAACGTGTCGTCTCCACAGCTGAGAGCACAGATTTACAGACAACGTGTTAGTTGTCACTTCATTTATTTGAACTGTCAGTTTAATGTGAGAACAGAGTCACACGTGAGCATATCTGACACACACACACAGTCATTAACATGCTATGTTAATGTGTGAAAGCAGGTGCGAGTGTCTCCGAGCAGAGCAGAGCAGACACGTGTGTCCTCGCCTCCGGAGAGTCACAGCCTGCCTGAGACGAACCTCGGTACGTATCCACCGCTCAGGAAACGTCTGTGGTTTATTCACTTTGTTCACCTGCAGCTTTGTGACAGCATTTAACACCATGCAGGATGGAAACCACAGGTTTTCAGTAGTTTTAGGAACTTGGAAGAGTTTGTCTGTGAAGGTTCTCAGTCATCCAGGTCATCGTAGTCAAAGGAGCTTGGAAAGAAAAATGTCTGGACTTCTTTAAGTTGCTTGAAGACGTTTCACCTTTCATCCGAGAAGCTTCTTCAGTTCTAAGGTCAAATGGTGGAGAGTCCCAGATTTAAACCTAGTGGGAGTCACCCCCCTAGTGGAAGAGTTTCCAGATACTCAACAGCTCTGATTTGCATAAAGTAGCTTAGACCTGAATTTCACGCAGTACGGAAATCTCCAACATCAGGAAATGGTACAGCAGAATTAGGAGAATGTGAACATATGCAGGCAAATGTGTGTTCACAGACGAGCCACCGTGAGCTGTTAATAAATGTCTGGAAGGCGGGTTGGGGGGCAGATGATGCGTCCTCCTGTCACAGGAGGAAGTGAGGTAAGTGGAGGTCTGGCCTGTGACTGGCTGAAGAGGTGCGGGCCATCACTGGGATCGTGAGGAGGCCTGAGGTCTTTGTCCATGTGGGGAAATGTTCTGTCTGATGGACGACCTGAGGCTGTCCCAGCAAACCAGTCCGACCTGTCTCCATGGTGATGTCTGAGGCTGAAGAAGGCGCTGCTAGGGTCACAGAGCTAACACACCTGTAACAACACCTGCAGAGACACAGGAGGGTTGTGTTCTGGCATAAAGGAGGCATAACTCCTCTGCAATGAACAGAATTCAAATGTATTTGATTTACAATTACAATTTCATTATATTTACCTACAAATGTTTAAAGGTTTATACAGGAAATAATTCATGATAAAAATAATGAAACTGTAACAAATGTAAGTCGTGAGTAAGACTAAAAGAAAAGGACAACAGAACATAAAACCTGCTCCATCAAACAGCCGCAGCACAGAGAGAACAAGATGCAGGAAGATGGTTTTCTGCAAAATTACCATGAAACTGCACAGTGAATAAAAAGTGATTTAAATTCGTGTCTGTTTTCCTGTAAAATACACAGAATTTAGGCAGAACTTGCATTTACTTACTATCTCATTATTTCTTTCAATGTTTAAAGTGACGTCATGATTTCTTTGCGACTGTTACCTCCTCGTTTAAGTGCACCGACCTTTAAATTTGTATCGATGAATGGTGTTACACGATCGTTTCAAATTCAAATTTCCTGGTTTTGTGGTTATGTGGTGGTAAACACGTGATTCTTATACTCGTTGGCTCCTCACGGTTCATTCATGTTGTTTATTTAAATATTTTTTGTAATTATTTTTGAACATTTTGTGATTGTTGCATCTCTCTGTCACAATTTCTGGTCATTTTGCATCATTTTGTAGTTGATTTGTGGATATTTTGTGTATTTTTATTCCGATTTGAGTTTTCTTTTGTGTCTTTGTGGACTGTTACGTGTTTCGTGTCATTCCCTCCCTGTTTTCTGTGTGTGTGTGTTTCATCAGCATTTGTTGTTTGTAGTTGTTTTGTGTCTTTGCAGTAACCGTGTGTGTTCCTCTGCTTCCAGAGTCTCCGAGCAGTCAGCCTCCTCAGAGGAAGAGCTCCCTCAGCGACAGCTGCCGCCTCAAGATAGAAAGGTTGGAGCAGGTGAGTGTTTGTGAGTCGCACCTTTGAACGCTTCACGCTGACGTTGAAACAGCAGAGTCAGCAGGATGAACCAACCAGGAGGCAAGAAAACAACCAAACACGTAAATCTGCACAGAAACTATCGAGTCCTCAGTGCGACAGCATGAGGTGATGATTTCCCTGCACGCTGACGGGAACACCACGAACATCATTCAGCTTCATGGGAACCGAGGAAAAACCTTTTTGTTCCCAAATCCAAACAAAACACAAAATGTATTTGTGTACTTCATCACGACACAACAGTGTCAGCTGAACCAATTCATGAGCCGATACTCTCTTCTCATTGGTCAGCGGCTGTTTGTCAGTGTGTGTTTGCACCATGTGAGCTGTGTATCGATCTGTGTGTGTGGTTGTGTCCAGGCTCTGGAGCTGATTGGCCTGAAGCCCTCCGACACTCAGCGGCAGACGCTCCGGTCCAGACTGCGACCTGATCCGGCTGGGACGGTGGCCTTCACAGGTAAGACATCATCGCTCAGCTCACCTGTGGCTGTCCTCCTGCAGGTGTCCCTCATCCTCACACCTGTGCAGGACATCATGTACTTTTATTTGTATTTAGCTCTTGTTTCTTTTCATGATTGAAGGTTTTAAGCGCAGCTCTGAGGTAAACTGATGACTGTGCTGCTGTGTTTGGACCATGTTGGTCTCCAGCAGTCAGGAGGTTTCCTGCTGTGTCCTTGTTGGATGTTTTTATCTGGAGTTCTGTTTCTCCTGCGTTCGGCTTTACTCGCCTCCTTCCCTCCTTTGTGCCCTCGGCGGTTTCACCTGGGAAACTGGGACTCGATTCTTCTGACGTCGCAGCGACTCGAGCTTTGCACACTTTCTGCTCACTTGCGTTAACTCAGAGCTTTTATTCTGCTTTGTGGGTTTTACTGCACTGTTTGAAAAAGTGAAGGAAAAGCAGAGAGCTTCAGTAGAAAGAATAAAATGTCTTTGTCTGCTGCTGGACATCAGAGTTGAAACGTAGAAACTGTTGCTGCTGTTGGAGCAGCTGTTTGAACTGAATTCTTCTGAGCAGCCGCCAGGTCGTCACCATCACACACAGAGGGGATCCATTAATCTCACTGTTCGTAGAATAAAAACAGAAGGTGTGGTCACATGGCTGACTGTGCTCAGAGATGATCCATATTGTGTTTTCATTGACTGTTTGCACAGTTTAAAGGAGGCTTGGTGATGTGGCGCGTCAGCGTTGAAGATGAAAGTCAAGTGCAGGACGCAGATCTGCAGGTTTCGTCGCTGCTTCGGCCTCAGAGAGGCTCGGGTTGGCGTTCTGCCTCCTGCTGAGCGCTCATGTCTGTTTTCTGTTCCCAGACTTCGAGAGCCTGATCAAGGAGCTGTTCAAGCCTCAGCTGGAGGAGCTGGGCGTCACGCAGCCCGGGTCTCGCTTCACGTCCGACGACCTGTTCAGCTTGCTGGAGTCGCCCAGCGACCCGAGGGTAGGAGCGTGCAGCACAGCGCACACGTCTGATGTCACACAGTTACTGAACTTTATAAACAACTTTTAACTGTAATTTACTTTAAACTCATAGAAAAGATGCTGAGTGACTCATCCTGTATGTATGCACGTATATGCAGCCTTCAGGAAAAGCACAACAGAGTACTAACACAGTTTTCAGTTTTGCAGTGCAGACAGTGTTTGTAGAATATTACAGTATGTTAAAGTATGTGGGGGGTGTCATCAGTGTCAGTCACAGCACGGAGAGGGTGGAGGCGGTCACAGCAACAGAGCAGGGAACACCTGGAGAAGGTGTAGGTGGGAATGATGCTGCCTGTGCGGCGTTTCTAACGGGATCGATTCTGCTTCTTTATTTTTATCTTTTCATTTTATTGTTTATTAGAATAAAAAAGTGACCTTCAAGCTCCAGTTTTACTTTGCTGGTTATAAGCAAAATAAAAACGTGGACATGGTGAGCAGTCGCTTTATTTATACGTCTGTTAGTACAGTATGAGTGATGATGTCATCAGATGATGTCATTAACAATGCTCCCAAAGTCTCCAACAGAACAAACACTGCTGTAAAGTTTTAATATGGGAGTCAATGGGGACTCACTGCTGCCTCCGGTGGTTTTCTGAGATCACCTGGATTCATCAGACTGAGGATCATCCAGGTTTAAGTGAACAGGAGCACGTGATGACTCCACGTCCACTCCACTGTGGACGCTGCCATTGAACAGGAGGGTCCTATCAGCAGAGCTGTGCTGGGGTCACACAGGGTCACACAGGTCACACAGGTTCGGTGGACCTGAGAGCAGCAGCAGCTGCATCTGTGAGAGGATACAGGTGTGATTAATGTTCAGGTCATCGTCACACAAGCCTCAATGTGCTGCTTTCACTCGCTCTTCATGATTTACGACACTTTCAGCCTGACACTCACGCTAACGAGATGCTAACGAATCGTTCTCTGTCGCAGATGTTTCTGATGTGTTTGTGTGTTTGTGCAGCCGTCACTGTCGGACTCAGAGGACCTGGAGGAGATGGAGCGGCTCAGGAAGGAGCACATCGAGGCTCTGAGGGAGATCAAGAGGCTGCAGGTAGACTCACGCCTGAGTCATTTTGTAGAATTCAATCATATCCAAAGAAAAGTGGGCTTCAGTAAATATTCTAAAGTGTCGGTTCTGATCTGCAGGAGCAGCTGGTCGAGTCTCAGAGAGTCCACCATCAGATGGAGGAGGAGCTCAGCAAGGTCAAACAGGTGAGTCACGCCTGCTGCACTCATCCGACCTGCGCACGTGTGTGAAAACAGGAAGTCATACACAGGTCATGTGTTGGTCAGTGGCTGTGGTGGATGCTGGAGCGTGCGTGTGTGTGTGTGCGTGTGTGCGTGTGTGTGCGTGTGTGTGTGCGTGCGTGTGTGTGTGTGTGTGTGTGTGTG